TCTTCAGTAGTAAAATAAAAAGTGCTTTAAATGTTCTAAAACATTGTTTATAAAAATAGAATTATATTATTTACCTAAAGCATCTCATTATTAAAAAATCAATATTTGAAACGCATGTTAAAAAAGTTATTAAAGAAGATAGCACCTACTTGCCATTTATGCCACCTGGTTCATAATTATTGATATTCCAAAGATAACCTAACCATGTTACTTGTTTGTTTTGCGGGTTGAATTCATAGAGGGGTACAAGGGAAGCTATATGAAAACACCAACAGTTGTAAGAAAATTGATCATGGTAGTTTCAAACATAACCTAACCATATAACTTGTTTGTATAGCGGTTTGTATTAATAAAGCCGTACTCAGTGGCGTAGCGAGGTCGGGTGTCGCCCGGTGCGGCATTCAATGTTATCACCCCTACCCCCAGCCCCCCCCCCCGGGAAAATTTAAAAAATATCCATATCCATGTCCATACCCGTACCCGTACCCGTACCCGAACACGTACCCATACCCGTACCCGTACCCGTACCCGTACCCGTACCCGTACCCGTACACGTACACGTACACGTACACGTACACGTACACGTACACGTACACGTACACGTACACGTACACGTACACGTACACGTACACGTACACGTACACGTACACGTACACGTACACGTACACTACGTACACGTACACGTACACGTACACGTACAGGTAGGTAGGTAGAGCCTACGCATGTGTATATGTATTCACATATATTTTTTTATGTATTTAATTTAATTTTTTACCTCCCAGCCCCTAAACATGGATTAACATATCAGTTATTACGATTCTCAATCAAACCATTTACCTTAGGCATAGTTTGCAACGTTAAGTTAATGTAACTTCCACCCACCCACTCACCTCCCCACCCCCCCCACCCCCCCCCCCCCCCACCCCACCCCTAAGGCGACGGCTTTAAACTGTGCCCAGTTATAACACTAACGACTTTTATCTATAGACGGTTAGTACAGCTTGATGTAGTATGTTTTCTATATCATTAGCAGGTTAACGTCATGGTGTCACCCCCCCCCCCCCACCTCCACCCTTGTCAGGATTGATCAAATTTGCTCTTACAGACTATTAACACTCTAATTAATCACTTAAATAAGTGGAATAATCATTTTTCTGCATATATTTTGCTAGTTTCTGCCTTTGTGTCTACCCCCAAATGGTGTTACCGGGTGCAGTCTGCACCCCCCGTTCCCTCCTCCTCGCTACGCCTCTGGGGGTTCATATAAAACTATTTGAAAACACTAACAGTTGTCAGAAATTTGAATATTTTTAACGGATGTTAACAGCCACGCTAAAATCTGTCATACATAAATGATTTAATTTGCATACAATATTTTGCTAAAACACTAGAGCGATAACAATATTCAGCGAATTTTAGTATAGAGCTACCAACATGATATAATATAGTGCAGTAAAGGGTAGTTTAACAGTAAAAGTATAGACATGCATGTAGTGAGGTAAGTGGCTAATAATATATGAGGTAATAGTATTATAGGTATTGAGGTTTAAGATCGACTTTTAAGTACTGAGGTACCTGATCTGTCCATTAAATTGAAAAATATTATTTTTAAATTTTTAAAATTTAAAAAATACGGTTAAAAAGGTCGATGAGGTCTTATAAACTTTACAAAGCTGTTTCTATTTAATTTTAGTATCGTCACTTAGTATTTTTTATTCCACTACTAAATTCTATAACAAAAATACATTTGTATTACTATTGTCAATAAAAATTTTAAATTGATACTCTTGTTTTCTGAATTAAAAAATCCCTGAAAATATCATTTTCTAATGCTAGTGATAAGGTAAAAAAAGTATGTTTCTCACCTTCAGACCTCATGCTAAAAATGACTGCCAAATTCAGAAATAAACTTGCCGATATTTTCATCTTGTCCACTGTTTTTTTCTCTCACTGTAATCAGTAGCGACCTCTTCAGTGTGATCTAGTGAACTAGTGGTCACAATGTCCAGGTCAGTGCCCTATTTCAAGGTATTCGAGGTTTGACTCGCGAATTAAGAGAGGCTAGTAATATGTCTGGGAAGCGGATTACGCGAGGCGAGAGTTGGGATTGGGGGGGGGGGGGATAAATGGTTAAGCGTGATGGATGATAGGTTCGGAGTGTAAGATAAAAATATGTCTGCCTGCCTGCCTGCGTGTCTGTCTGTCTGCCTACCTGCGGGTCTTTCTGTCTGCCTGCCTGGTGTCTGTCTGTCTGCCTGCCTGCCTGCCTGTCCGTCTGCCTGCCTGCCAGCCTGTCTGCCTGCCTGCCAGCATGTCTGTCTGTCTGTCTGTCTGTCCGTCTGTCTATCCGTCCGTCTGTCTGTCTATCTGTCTGTCCGTCTGTCTATCCGTCCGTCTGTCTGTCTGTCTGTCTGTTTGTTTGTTATGCCTCACGACATAATTATATAACACACTCCGAAGAAAACCAAACATTATCCCGCCCCACATATAAATCAAACCCCCAACCCCCTCACATTAAAACTCCATCCTCTTAGGTACTTGTGAGGGTGGGGATTTTTAAGAGGCGTAACGAATCCAACAACACAAGTCCAAGTTCAATTATGAAATGTTCTTTATTAACAAAGATATATATTCAAGTTTCTACCTAACTAGCCCATTCTATACTCTCTACTGCAGAGGTGTAGCGACCCCTCCCCGGCGCCCGGGGACAAACTTTTCGATTTGCATCCCCCCCTCGAGATTTCGATGTGCACCCCCCCCCCCTCAAACTGTTCGATTTGCACCCCCCTCGAGATTTCGATTTGCATCCCCCCCCTCAAACTTTCGATTTGCATCCCCCCCCCCCTCAAACTTTCGATTTGCACCCCCCTTCAACCTTCAATTTATTTTTCCAACCCATTTTGGCGCCCCCTAAGGTCGGCGCCCGGGGACATATGTCCCCCCCCACCTCTTTTCACCAACCCCTCCCCCCACCCCCGTGAAAGCAGCCTCCTCTTAGTTACCTCCCCTAAGTTTAAAATCGTTTCAAACTAAATTATCTGCCCCTAATAGCCGTCACTAAACCCGGTTCGACGATTGTAAAATTTAACGCGAAACACAGCTCAAAAGACCCTGTAGGGGTGGAGGGCGGTAGGGAGCGCGCTTACAGCTTGGTGTTTTCTAGGGTTTCCAAGAAGAGAAGCTGTCGAAAAACGAAACCCCCCTCCCTCCCCCCCCCCCTTACCGATTTTCCCCGTCCTCCTCCCCCCCCCACCCCCGCAAAAGTCCATCATTTATTCTATAGGGTTCCAGTTCATCTGACTTGCTGCCCTCGCCTCATAGGGTACGATTTTCGGCAATTGTGCGTCTGTCTGCCCTTCCCCTTCCTGATTGTAGGAAAAAAAGTCACAAGAAAAAAGTCACAGGAAAAAAAAGTCACAAATATATATTTGCATGGGATTTGTTAATACTTGTATGTATTAAATATTCAGAGAGTGCAAATTAAATTAGGATTAATTAAATGTAATGTAATGTGTGTAGGTTGTATACGTATAGTAATTTTTATAATTCATCTAAAATATTTAGTATGAATTATGTACATTGTAATTATGTTAAACATAATATTTATAGCATTTAATTTACCGTGAAATGGTAAGGTCATCTGAATTACTGCCCTCAACTCATCGCAACAATAGTTATGCTTAGTTCAACCACCTTTACTGCCCACATTTATCACGCTCATTACATAACAAAACTTAGGATCAAAACAGAGAGCCGACAAGGTTCAAAGGCTGTCATTGACACAAAACGTCAACAACACAAAATATGTTCGGACAATGCCGACTGAGGAGAGGCTGACCATAGATTAGCCTACGGCAAAACCTATGAAAAACACAATGATGTGCCTACATTTCTTTTATAGTTAACTTTTCTACCGCGTATGTAACTAAATACGTAACAAAAGTTAAGATTGTTGTGTAAATTATCTTAGAGTATTTTTACTTACAATTTTTATAAATCATAATGCTTTTAACGTCTATAAATAATTTAAGCTATAAAAAAATACAACCCATAACAATAAACATACACAATTTTACAATTCTTAACAAATAAAACAAAATATTTCTAAAAAGATTTGTGTGACTTTTTTTCTGTGCCTTTTTTCCGATAAAAATTTTTCATTGTGACTTTTTTTTCCGTGACTTTTTTTCCTAGCAAAAACTGACTTTTTTTCTGTGTTTTTTTCCTTGTGACTTTTTTCCGTTCACCCATATATGCACCGCTCGACTACTGAGACGCTTTCATCTGTATACAGCGCCAAACACAGAACCAACACAGTGTTTAGTCAATACAACTTCGTCTTTCCTGTTTAGAGCTTAGCCTTTGCAGCACATTTTTACGCAACAAATCTTGGCAAATCACGAACAGCTCAAGGCGTCGTATTCACATTAAAAAAAAACATGTCACATAATTTATTCTACACTCAGTCAAACTGTTTGTTCTGATCGTGACTATTCAAGAATAAAAACCATCGTATCTTAACGTATTCACAATAGCGCAATTGTTTTGAGTTCATGCAAGAAATTTGTTGACAAAGATTTAGCCAAACGAAATTCACTAACTGAAATTTCTCAGATATGTTCATTATTCATTATTAAACATTCATTTTCCTTAACTATATTATTCACTTGATGTAATAGAATTATTCTGGAATCATAAGGATTAGTGGGCTCACATTGTTTCCTCTATGATACCTTGGTGGATACCTAGCCTAGGTGGATACCTAGGTGGATTGGATTTAGAACATAATAATGCATAGATTTGTTTGTTTGTGTGTTTGTCCACAGCATACTAGCACCAATATGTGAGCTTGTCTATATGTTCAAGGCAGTGTGTATGTTTGTTGGCCTTCTTGTCTGTATGTTTAAGTGTATATGTTAAATGATCGCTGTTTTCAAACGCAGTGGCATTTCCCTAACCCATAGAACATGTGAGGTACCAGTTTGATTCTTGACTTGCAGGACGCCGCTGACGTCGTGCCACTGACCAACCATCTGATCCTGATGAACCCCAACCACCGCCAGCCCATCGAGTGGGCGTTCGAACACTACCTCAGCGCTCTGTCAGCTCTGTACGTGGCACGCTTCGACAGGTAAGGCCAGCGCTGTTCCGCTGTGTTGGGTACCAGCGAGCAGCGAGGTACCTTTGTGTTGGGGTTAGCTTGGTGGTGGGGGGTCCATGTGTATCTGTGCGGCTTGTTGGTGGTGGTGAAAGTGGTTAGGGGGGGGGGGGAGGGAGAATGGGGTCCATGTGTTTGAGTGCGGCTTGTTGGTGGTGGTTAGAGTGGTTGGGGGGGGGGGGAGAAGGGGTCCATGTAAATGAGTGCGGCTCGTTGGTGGTGAAAGTGTTGTTGTTTTTTTTTGGGGGGGGGGGTCTCGTGAAAAGCCGTTTCTTTGTTTGCTGGTTCAACAAAAATAATCAATACGTGGTTTTTTATTGGTTACACTTTGATTGCGATAGCTGCCTACTTATGGAATTTGTAGCAGTATCAAAGGTACTATCACATAATTACACACACACACACTCACACACACACACACAAACACACATACACACTCATACGCACTCACGTGAACTGTATTATGCACACATTATCTACGAGAAAAATGGCCCGTTGAGGAAGGGTACAACGGGCGCTAGGCTGATAGTGCTGTCTCTTTTCTCTAAACTAAAACCAACCCACCCCCCCCACACACCACCCCACCCCCACCCCCACCCCCACCCCCCCACCCCCACCACACACCACCCCCCACCCCCACCCCCACCCCCCACACACACCACCCCCTCCACACACCGCCCCCCTCCCCCCACCCCCCCTACCCCTCCACCCCCCCCTCCACCCCCCCCCCCCAAAAAAACATGTCTACCGTCCCATTCAACGAAATATAATTATATACTTTTTCCAGTGTCCGCCCCCTCCCAGAAAATTCTACCCCCCGCCCCCGAAAATTTCAAGTACCCCCCACCCCTCTCCGGGGAGGAAAAAGTCTGAAAGAAACACTGAAACCAACCCACCCCCCCACACACCACCCCCCACCCCCACACACCACCCCACCCCCCCCCCACACACACACACCACCCCCCCCACCCCTCCACCCCCCCACCCCCCCCCCCCAAAAAAAAACATGTCTACCGTCCCATTCAACGAAATATAATTATATACTTTTTCCAGTGTCCGCCCCCTCCCAGAAAATTCTACCCCCGCCCCCGAAAATTTCAAGTACCCCCACCCCTCTCCGGGGAGGAAAAAGTCTGAAAGAAACACTGAAACAAACCCACCCCCCCCCACACACCCCCCCACCCCCCCCACACCCCCCCACACACACACCACCCCCCCCCCCCACCCCTCCACCCCTCCACCCCTCCACCCCCCAACCCCCCCCCCCCCAAAAAAAAAACATGTCTACCGTCCCATTGCAAGAAAACCACTTTTTAGATTAGACACATTAATTAGGCGGTAATTTTATTATAGAGTATCGATGAAGAAATTTCTTTTGAGTTGGGGAGGGGGAGGGGCTCAGACGTTCTTACGCGTGGGGTGGGGCTTCGCCCCTACCCGAAGAATTGTATGCAAGAAACTCTTCACGCAAACCACTTAGATTAGACAACATTTCCTCTTTATTCAATGTTTACGCCAGAATCAATGACGTCATTATATTACTGTGTGCACTTTCCGCCTTGAGATTATTTTCAACTCTATGCTAAATGTGTCGACGTCATACTTCGTTTTTCGAATTACTATGCATGTTTTTAAATTGCTTGTGTTTTCTCTAGAGCGTTCTTGTCAGACAGATAGATAGATAGATAGATAGATAGATAGATAGATAGATAGATAGACAGACAGCGAAACTATTATTATAGATAATCTATAATATAAGCGGGCTGAGCGTGTGTCAGTCCTTTCTTCCTTCCTTCTGTCATCGCTATAGATTTTGGAACCATAAAAGTAAACATCGCACCATGCTGTGCTTTTCAGTGCACCGCAGTGTCTTATTATAAGTAATAGAGTAGGGTTTGTTTATATAACGACATGGAGCTATTTTATAATTGCCACTGTGTTTACTCTTTTGCATAACTTAAAGAAAATATTAAATACACGCACATGGCTAAAACATATTAAAAGGATCAATGTCAAATATCATTTTCGTTTATATTCCTAGAAAAGGTGGATACATTTCAATAACATAATAACAGTACGGTAGAAAAATCAAATTAATTTAACTCTTTTTTCTAATTTTGACAAAGGAGGTAATTTAAAAATACATTAAACTCACGCTAATAAAAAATGTGAATGCAAATATACGATCGTCATAGAAGGAATTAGTGTTGCAATAATATAATTAGCAAAATGTGAATGCAAATTATTCGGATGTGTTAGAGGAAATTATTGTTAGAAAATTATAATTAGCATGGATTGATAAAAGGCAATCTTTTATTTATTTTATTCACTGAATGTAGGCCCTACTGTTTATTACTTATAATTTTTAATCAACTATTCAGCACTATTATAGACGCGTCATCACGTTCATTAGGTGCGCAATGGTTTTAGTTATGAAACTCTATTGTACATTTTTAAAATTTAAAGTACTGGAAAAAAAAATGCGTGAATGGATAAAGTGAAATATTGTATATATTATAGATACTGCCTATTATTTATACTGTTTTCTAATTATTATTCTATCTTTCGGGTTTTATAGGAGAGGCGTAGCGAGGGGGGGGGGGGCATATGTCCCCGGGTGCCGACCTTAGGGGGCGCCAAAGTGTGTTGGAAAAAATTTGCGAAGGGGGGGGGGGGGTGGTGGAAAGTTTTAGGGCGGGGGGGGGGAAGGGGTGCAAATCGAAAGTTTGAGGGGGGGGGGGGTGCAAATCACCGGAAAGGGCGCGATTTGGCGCTACGGGCTAGACTGTGAGCAATATGCCTTTATGATTGCATTTAAATTGTGTTTATGTTATGAGTGTTGTGTTTGTTTTTTCGTGTTTTTTTTTTTTGTTTTTTTTTTGCGTTCGTTTGTTTTGTGTTTAGTTTTGTTCTGTTGGTACATTTAAAAAAGATTTACCGTGGCGGAGCACGGGATGCAGCTAGTCTATAATATAAGCGGGCTGAGCGTATGTCAGTCCTTCCTTCCTTCTGTCATCGCTATAGCTTTTGGAACCAAAAAAGTAAACATTCGCACCATGCTGTGCTTTTCAGTGCACCGCAGTGTCTTATTATAAGTATTAGAATAGGGTTTGTTTATATAGCGGCATAGAGCTATTTTATAATTTCCACTGTTTGTACAATTTTGCATAACGTAAAGAGAATATTAAATACACGCACATTGCTAAAACATATTTAAAGGATCAATGTCAAATATAGTTTTCGTTAATATTCCTAGAAAAAGTGTATACATTTTAATAACATAATAACTGTAGGTTAGAAAAATCTAATGAAACTGTTTAGTAATTTTGCCAAGGGAGGTATTTTAAAAATAAATTAAACTCACGCTAAAAATGTGAATGCAAAATCTGCAAGACGGAATAATTGTTGGAATAATATAATTAGCAAAATGTGAATGCAAATTATGCAGACGTGTAAGAGTACATTATTGTTGGAATATTATAATTAGCATTGATTGATAAAAGGCTATCTTTTATTTATTTTATTCACTGAATGTACTGTTTACTAATTATAATTTTTAATCAACTATTCTCCATTATTATAGACGCGTCATCACGTTCATTAGGTGCGAAATGGTTTTAGTTATGAAACTCTATTGTAAATTTTTAAAAAGTACTGGGGAAAAAAGTGTGAATTGATAAAGTGATATATGGTATGTAAAACACGGATATTTTAAATACTTCCTATTATTTATACTGTTTACTAATTATTATTCTATCTTTCGGTTTGCGGACAAGCTAGGGGTTTTATAGGAGAGGCGTAGCGAGGGGCGCCAAAATGGTGGGGGGTGGAAATCGAAAGTTTTAGGGCGGGAGGGGGGTGCAAATCGAAAGTCTGAGGGGGATGCAAATCAAAAGTTCAAGGGGTGGGGTGGAAATTGAAAGTTTGACGGGAGGGGATGCAAATCGTAAGTTTGAGGGAGGGTCAAATCGAAAGTTTGTCCCCGGGCGCCGGAAAGGGTCGCTACGCCTCTGTTTTGTAGTCATTCACTGTGTCAGACGCGTCCGCCCGCGCTCGGAAAGGGCGCGATTTGGAGCTACGGGCTAGAATGTGAGCAATATGCCTTTATGATTGCATTTAAATTGTGTTTATGTTATGAGTGTTGTGTTTGTTTTTTCGTTTGTGTTTTCTTTTTGCGTTCGTTTGTGTTGTGTTTAGTTTTGATCTGTTCCCAAGTTGGTAGATTTTAAAAAGATTTACCGTGGCGGAGCACGGGATGCAGCTAGTTCTAAATAATAGATTAAATAGACGAAAATATACTTTAAAAAAAAAAAAACTAAAAGTGATATTTCAAACCAAGTTAAATATAATCTAGTTCAGAAATTAGCAAATGATTCAATAACAAGATACATCAATATCGATTTTTTTTTCATAAGCTTTAGTATTGATTTATAGATGGATATAAAAGTAAACGTTATCCATAATATAATAAATCTATATTGTAGTTATCCATCACATCATGTATATATAATGTACTTATCCATACTACAATGTATCCATAATGTACTTATCCATACTACAAAAAGTGTATCCATAATGTACTTATCCAACCTACAATGTATCCATAATGTACTTATCCATACTGCAATGTATCCATAATGTACTTATCCATACTACAATAAATCCATTATGTACTTATCCATACTATAGTAAATCCATAATGTACTTATCCATACTACAGTAAATCCATATTGTACTTGTCTATTCTACAATGTATCCATAATGTACTTATCCATACTACAATGTATCCATAATGTACTTATCCATACTGCAATGTATCCATAATGTACTTATCCATACTACAATAAATCCATTATGTACTTATCCATACTATAGTAAATCCATAATGTACTTATCCATACTAAAGTAAATCCATATTGTACTTGTCTATTCTACAATGTATCCATAATGTACTTATCCATACTACAATGTATCCATAATGTACTTATCCATACTACAATAAATCCATTATGTACTTATCCATACTAAATTGTATCCATAATGTACTTATCCATACTACAATGTATCCATAATGTACTTATCCATACTACAAAAAGTGTATCCATAATGTACTTATCCAACCTACAATGTATCCATAATGTACTTATCCATACTGCAATGTATCCATAATGTACTTATCCATACTACAATAAATCCATTATGTACTTATCCATACTACAATAAATCCATTATGTACTTATCCATACTACAGTAAATCCATATTGTACTTGTCTATACTACAATGTATCCATAATGTACTTATCCATACTACAATGTATCCATAATGTACTTATCCATACTACAATGTATCCATTGAACCAGAGTGTACGTCCATGGTGACACAGAACCTTCTGGAAAATACTGGAACAAATTAAAGAAAGAAAACGTCACGTTCGTCTATGTGAGTTTAAATATAGCAAAAAAATTAAGTTAAAAATAACAATATATCATGAAAATATCAATAATGACATAACTGACAATTTGCCTACCTTTTTACGCACGTAAATAATATAACAAGCTTAATTAATAAATTAGCGTTTCCAATGTATATGAAATTTGATAAATACATTTAGTATTTTTAAAAAAAAATATTTAAACCTTTCTAAAAAAAATCATGCTTTAAATGTTAAATCTACTAATCAATAAATTGGCAACGCTATAAAGCCATATAATATTCCTAAGTAAACTTAAGGACTCTATAAAACTGGATATTTAACGATTGTAGACCTTGTAAAATAGAAGAATTTTTTTTTTTAATTTTACACAAGGCACTTGTGTATAAAACTATAGATAACAAAAACAACGTTAAAATAGTATTGCTTATGAACATGGTGTAGATGTCACTGGTATTCAATTTTAACAATTTTTTTTTATTATTTCAGATAGATGGCATTAGCTCAATATTTCAACAAAATGTCTTAGAAATGGCTCATAAAACTGACATTTTGAGGGTTTTGGTTTTATATAAATACGGTGGAGTATACAACGTAAGTAATCCACTTTTGTTATATAAATTATCTATTGTTTTTCAGTTTATATTATCCGTTCCCTATGAATGGTATTATTTCTGGTATTTTTAACATGAGCATATGTACCTTGAATCAATAGAAGGACATGGAGTATTTTAATTCCTATCTCAACGGTATTACTAAATAATTGGTTATATTGTAATTAAAATTGTTACTGAAACGATGCAATGGCAAAGAAACAATGTTGCTAGTTCCTGTAAAATGTGATTTCATGAAAAATGTTATCGTGAGACCTTTAAAACTAATGACACACGTGATGTTCAAAATGAATATTCGATGCTGTATATTTTTTTATTATAAAATTTATTTTGCAAGAACGTAAGAACGATGATTTCCAATGCGTATTGTTAAAGAGCGAATAAGAAAAATGACTGAATTGGTATTATTAAAACACGAATAAGAACAATGACTGAATTTGTATTATAAAAACACGAATAAGAACAATGACTGAATTTGTATTATTAAAACACGAATAGGAACAATGACTGAATTTGTATTATAAAAACACGAATAAGAAAAATGACTGAATTTGTATTATTAAAACACGAATAAGAACAATGACTGAATTTGTATTATTAAAACACGAATAAGAACAATGACTGAATTTGTATTATAAAAACACTAATAAGAACAATGATTGAATTTGTATTATAAAAACACGAATAAGAACAATGACTGAATTTGTATTATTAAAACACGAATAAGAACAATGACTGAATTTGTAGTATAAAAACACGAATAAGAACAATGACTGAATTTGTATTATTGAAACACGAATAAGAACAATGACTGAATTTGCATTATAAAAACACAAATAAGAACAATGAATGAATATGCATTGTAGGACAACGACGTGATTTGGGTGAATCCGATTTCCGACGACCTCCGACGTTACCCGACGGTGGCGTGTCTGGAACTGTCAAAGGAAGGAGACTGGCCCAGGGTCATCAACAACGGTGTGTTGGCATCAAAACCCAAGGCTCCGTTTCTAGTTCATGTTCTGGAGTCTTTCTGGTAAGTTGTATCCGACATATTGGTATCGTTGTCATTTTTTTGAAAAAGAAATCTACACTTTCGAACCTTATGATCCTTGAGGCAGACAAAGTAGAGTTCACGTGTTTTTGTGACTTCGGCACATATAGAGATAAATTGGTCAGCCCTGCCGCCTTTATTTCCCTTACTAAATCAAGTTCGGAATCCGAATTCGAAACTCTCTGGTTTGCAGTCGATAGCTCTACCACTCGACCACACCGTCCCTTTATGCATTGGTATTAAATGTAAGATTTAAGATTTATAATTTTGTACTGGAATTTTAAATTTCCAAAACCATTTGATGTTTACCTAACCTAACGAATAAAATTTTAAATGATAAAGATTTTCGAAAAAAAAACAACCCAGTATATATAACTAAATAAATGGAATGCGTGTGTTCTTAAAAATAAAAGTGGTGTATCTCGTTTTATCCAGATAGAGAAAAGCTTGTATTGTGGGCCAAAAGACCTGTTTAAAAAATACAAAAGCCCGGTCACAATAAAAGTTTTTCTGTCTACGTCTTTCAATCAATGCCACAATGCAAGGAACATGTGTATTAAGAGTGTTAACGTTGGTGGATTAGACAAGTATTGTTGTTGTAAAGTTAACAAGTGTGAATGTTGGTGGGTTAGACATGTATTGTTGTTGTAAAGTTAACACGTGTGAATGTTTAGAGAATTTATTTTATTTTTGTTGTAAGTGTGAATGTGTTGTAACAAGTGACAAACTTACTTTTCTTCTGGGCGTGACTTCGAGTATAAAGGAGGAACGACTGTTATACGAAAGTTGAAATAGTGTAACATACAGCATTATGTAAAGTAATATAACTTGATAATTTGAAGATATAATTAAACTTCCTAAAAACTCTATTCAATAACTACGGTAATTAGCTAAAACCATTTCATAAAACAAATCAATTCACACAACCATCCCGTCACTAAAACATTAACACATTTAATGTTGCTAACGTTCCTACCAAAAAGGTCTCTGACAAAAATCATTTTTATGACTTTGTAGATAAACGAATCTACATGCGTTTTAAAAAATATATTAATATCATTAATAAAAAAAATAATTCAACGATGAAATGTCGAAACAATAGTTGACTAGGTGATAAAAAAGTAAAATATTACAATAAGTTAAAAGAAGACGAAAACAGTGAGTAGAAAAATATATCGCCACAGGGTTGCTACTTTCTGGAGATAAAGAACACGTAATTCTTTAATTATAAGGCTTTTCCCCCCACATCAAGATGTATTGCCATTCTTTTCTTTTGGTATCATTGCAGGTATTACAGGGATGATTTATGGGCGCTCAATTCAGTCTACATGTTCTACAAGGTGTTTGAAAGGTACCCGGACACGATACACATAGATAAAAGGTTACAGGTTAGTTAACATCCTCATTTCAAGTAGGTGTCACAAATGATCAGTCAAATACAAGCAGGAGTACACACACGTACATCTATACTCCCCCTCCCAATATATATATATATATATATATATATATATATATATATATATATATATATATATATATATATATATATATATACATACATATTTATTTGTGTGTGCGTGTGTGTGTGTCTGTGTTCGTGTGTGTATGTAAGTAAATATACATACACTACAGTTGACATGGGTTACTTAGTTTTTCTGTTACGGCTTGCGATAGGTTCTCCTCAGTGCTCCTATTGTTTCAGATGTTATGCAACATCAACCTATGCAGGCCAGTGTGGATTGACGATTCAGACAACAGGAACCAATCCTATGCCATAGAGGAAGCTAATGGTAGGTTTTATTTTCACTATTTCTAAGCTACATACAAAAGCTGCTAAGGATTAGGGCCGTAATAGTGAATGATAGCGGTTCCTAAACATTATATATATATATATATATATATATATATATATATATATATATATATATATATATATGCTACCATTTTACCTCACACATTTACGTAAAAATAATGGGTAATTGTGTGATATTCATTAATTTAGTTGTAAAATAAAAAACTAAAAAAAGGCATTATCTGAAATATTTTTGCCTGAAAAACACTGCTTTTTTCCAACACTAAAACCTTTATTACGTGTTTCATTTTGGAAAAAAAACACGTAATATTTTTTTTTAAATTCATGTTTCTGTTTTAGCTGCCCATTTTCTCCACCGGGGATCATCATCGATTTTCAAATCCTTTGCGGCTCTTAAAGGTAAAACTGGGATTCACGCTTCGATTGTGAAGCGAATCATGAAAGCAGTAAGGCAGGCAGGCAAGGATTATCTTCTGGACGATGTTTAAAATACTTACTGCCAAACTTTAAACAATAATCAAAATAAAATATGGTTGCATATAAAATATATTTAAACTTGCTATAATCAAGCATATTAAAACTTACCTCGTTTATATCACCATCAATGCTTTCTTGTTCTTTATATATTTTATATTTCGTCCCTACTCTTTCCGATAATTTAAATGACTTTATAAAATTAATGTTTCAACGCAGAGGCGTAGCGACCCTTCCCGGCAACCCATTTTGGCGCCCCCTAGGGTCGGCGCCCGGGGACTTATGTACCCCCCTCGCTACGCCTCTGTTTTAACGCCAAGTGTTTTATAACTTCTTTGCTTAATAAAGCGCCATTTCTGCATTACATTTTACTTGATGCTACTATTTTAATTATATTTCGCTTGATATTCAGCGTATGCTTTTCACAGTATTTGTTAATATTAATTTCAATACTAGAAGATGTTGGCTCTAGTTCTATTAGTGGCACTTACGTTGGTGTGAGTTTAGTTGGTTAAGTTATTGTGTGTTTTGAAATGTACGAAACAAATTTGTCATGCCTTAACATTTACACGTATACTTGTATTTACAACTATATTTGTATTATTTGTACTATTGTACTTGATTGATTTATCAATTTAATGAGAACAATACGAGTTTGATTGAGTTTGTTTTATAAAAGGTTTTTAAAATAAAATATGTTGACAAACTATATGCAACTGGTTTCTTAGCGTCAGTATAAATATATTTGTCTATATGTCTTTCTGTCTTTCTGTCTTGTCTTTCTTTGCTCTCTTTCTTTCTTTCTGACTTTCTCTCTTTGTATCTTGTTTCTTTCTATCTTTCTGTCTTTCTGTCTTTCTTTTATTTAGTCTTTCTGTCTTTTATTCTTTCTGTCTGTTTTTTCTTACTACTCCCTGAAGAAGCATATAAAATCCCACCTTAAATTACACCTGCAAGAATAAAGAGGATTAACAACACCTGCTTCTAATCTGTGTCTCGAGTTTAATCCTGGATTTATTTCAAGTCGATTATAACGCGTTTAAAATGTAATATATTCCCCAAGCTAATCCTTTTACTCAACACCCAACAAATAATATAAATGTTATCGCAGTCAATTCACTAAACAGATTAAGAATTTTTTTACTAAAATTGTGTTAGGTTGTATGTCAGAAGACATCTGTTCTCGTCTTTGTTTTGTCTTTATCGTCTAGAAAACAGATCGAAACTCCACACAAATCGTGACAAAGTTTTATAAAGACAGTGTATGTTAAACTGTAAAGGTATAGTGTATTAAAGAATGAATTGTGTACTGTTATCAAACATGCCTTCTTGTATTATTTGTAGTCTTTAGTTATCAAATATACTGGACGCGACATATCAAGAACAGCGTGATGTATAGTGTAAGGTTGTAATCAATAAGTCTCATTTCGATTCCTCAATCAAGTTCAGGAAGGTAAAGCCGATAGGAAACAGAGCTGACCACACAATCCGAATGCTAAATAATAAATGTGTTCTACTGTATCTTTAATCAGTGTTTCTTCCAGACTTTTTTCTCCGGGGGGGGGGACACTGATAAAAGTATATGTTTTCTATATAAATTCCATTTCGTTCGGGGGGGGGGGGGGCGTAGACTCTCTTCCGGAGGGCTCGACCCCTACCCCCAACCCGAAGAAATGCCTGGAAGAAACTGTCTGTAATACAGATTATAGTTAATTAAAGATTTCGCTTGATTAAAGAGCCTATCTGGCTATAAGTTTGTGATCAAGGTATATATATATATATATATATATATATATATATATATATATATATATATATATATATATATATATATGTGTGTGTGTGTGTGTATATATATATATATATATAGTGTGTGTGTGTGTGTGTTTTGTGCAAACAGAGTAAATAAAAACAAAAGAATTAAAAGAGTTAAAAAATAACAAAATTAAGCATGTAATAATAGTTAACAAATGATAAACGTCATGATTATTGAATGCATTTATAAGTTAAAATAATATCAAATGGTGAGCGAAAAAGAAATCACCAAAAAAAATTAATAATTTGCAGCACCAATTTACTAGTTTCTGCATAATACAGTAAAGAATCACGTTTTATTTTTAAACCTTCCAAAATTGAGCCATTTATTGTTTCGCCACAGTGTTCAAAACTTACAGTACACAGTCTCTCCACAACTAAAGCACGCAAAAAGTATTTGACGCCAAAAATCAAACAATCGATTGTTCTATCTCTAGCCCAACTGCTGGGAGTGAATTCATTTGAGGTCTATTCTCACGTTAACCCCAGGCTCACTCAAAACTATAGTCCCTCTAGCACAAAGGGGATGTTAATATTAAAAGACGGATTAGAATGGATTCAGCCCCTTTCCCTTCTCGTTGCCTTTGTTGTTCGTCTTAAAGCCTTTGGCAGTAACGATTCAATAGCTTTTAAAGGCCCCCACAGCTATTGTATGCATATTTTAGCGGCCCACAGACTTTGTATGCCTATTTTGGTCTCTTATGAGTACGGGCTTCTAAGTTTATGTTTTCTCATGAATTTATTTTCAGTAGGCATTTTATAATTAAGTCATATTTGAAATTTTTTTTCTATAAGGAACTGCTTATAAATATAAAGGATAAACGTTTTCTTGGTACAACAAAATATAAAATGTATAAAAACGTGTATTTATTTACAGTAATTTGAATTTTGAATTTTAAAAATCAGTTTAGCAAGGTGCAATTAGGTTTAGTACACGAGTGGGTGCATTTTAAAAGGGCCAAACCAGCCAAAACTCTAAAATAACTTATATGATTTAGTTAAGGGGATATGCTATGTTTTTTTCTATTTTTTACAGTTTAAGATCTAAAGCCTTTTGAATACTTTTATCATATTTGGCATATAAAAGTAAGTATTAAACAGCAAAAAAAGGGGTCTAAAACAATTTTGGTTGTCATGGAAACACAAAAAACCTCCGCCATTTTGAATTTTTCGGTACTTTTTAAAATACTAAGGCTTTTTTATTTATGCACCTATAGCAATCAAACTTAAACTGCTATTATTTCAGTATATATTAAAACGTTTGTCACGACAACTTTTTGAAATAATTACTAGTAAGAATTTTACAAGGTCCAAAATATCGTACCCTTTTTAGTATTCAAAAGTTTCAAAATTTGCATATTAATTACCAAATACTTTTTTTCTATCAAAGCAATCACAATTCCCTCGTGACAAAACTTGTATTTTTGCATCAAGAACAATTACTGAAAATATGGTTGGCATTGTTTAATAAATAAAAAAGTAGTAGGCTTTTTAGTGTTAAAAACATGCGAACTGAGAAAAACAGCCAAAAGTAGCGAAAATTAGGTCAGGAAAGTACCATATCTGTGTGAACTGCAAAGCCGATTGTAAGCTTTGGGTGTTTCCGACATGTAGGAAATTAAGTTTATTAGATACATGAGAAATCCAGCTTTCCAATGATGTCAAATACAATATAATGACGGATAAAAAAACTTTTGATAGAGAGCTTGTAAGATTGGGAAAAATTGATTATTTTTTAATTAATAGGGTCATAAAAATCGTAATTCAAACACATAAAATATTTTTTTCTCTTTAAAGTTATTATTTTCTTTATACAAAAATGGACAAAGTATCCGAAAGTGCTAGAAACCGATCATGACGAAAAACAAGAATGTTTGTGATTTTTTTCCGCGCATATCCCCTTAAGTACTTTATACCCAGAAAAATATATTTATTAATGAACACGTAGAAGATATTTCAAAACTTTAAAATCAGATTTGATTCGTTATCTCTTTTTTTGAATATACGTTTAAATAAAGCATTTGCAATACTCATACTTACTTCTTGCTGGAAATAAAAATAGATCTTATTTGTGTGATGAAGACTAGCAATATAAGTTTAAATCGTTACATTACAAATTTAACTCATTTTTCAACATTCTAATCCGATTATGTTAAAATACGGACACGGTAGTTTAACCAGCAAATGTGATTATCCATGTAAAGCCAGTGTTATCACAGTATACATTGGCCGTTCTTTTGTGGTGGAGATTAATCAGCGAGAGAAATCACAAAGCCTCACAGCTGCTGTAGTCAT